TTTTATGTGATATAATCAATAATTATTAAATATTATGTGTATGTGTTATAGCCAATAAATTATGATAACCAATAAGTATTAACTCTTTTGATTCTCTAAAGACTAAAATTATTATACAACGAAACGGCAATKTATAGATTTCATATTGATTTTTTAATTCAATCTAGTAAAAAGGACCTTTGCCTTCCAAAACGTGAATATGACACTATTTTTCCAATAGTAATCGGATYAGAGTTCAGACGTCAACTGAATTATTCAAAATCATAGGCGTGCGCAGGAATTTTTCACAGGGTGTGCAGAATTATTCTAGTAGGGGTTACTTGGCCTACTGCAATTCAGTAAGATAAATACTGTCTCAATATAATAATTAATTTTAATTTTAAAATAAAATGATTAATAGTTTACATATTATAGTCATATTACCTACATATTATTATACAACTAGCATTTACATTTATATTTTATAATGGTAATCTTCTTTGTATTGGTGTTAGTGTTTTAAACTCATCAATAATTTCCTCCATATCTAAAGGTTTTGCAATTTCCTGTTAAAAAAAAATTGTAAGTAAGGTATCTAACCTTTCTTGAGCCATTGTACTTCTTAATTTATTTTTAACTATTGCCATTTTTGAAAAAGCTCTTTCACAAGAGCAACTAGTGACTGGTATGGTAGTAAATTCTTGTAGAACTTTAAATATATTTTCAAAAGTTCTCATTCGGTCTGTTCCATCTTTAGTTATGCAATTTTTGTTTYTCTTTTTGAGCAAGTTGAATTTCATTACCTTTKTCTATCAGAACATCTATAGATTTACAGTTTAAAAAATTACTCATTGAAGTACTACTGTTTATATGGGACTTGGAAAGCTGATGTGTTCTGAACTTATTAGTTCCTAAACGCCAATTATTAAAACCCAAATGTGAGAAGGTCTTATCTAATTGTCCATTATTTTTTCCATTAGAGTGTAAAAAAACTCTACAGCTGAAACAATATGCACGATCTAGTTTTACACTGTATTCCAGCCAGCTGAAACTCTTAAACCATTCTTTATGAAATTGCCTTAGAGTGTTTGACATTTTGGTTCTTGGATAGTTTTCAAGAATTGGTTGATAAGGACCTCTTTGTATACGATCAGATATTCAGATAATTCAATTTTATTAGAAGGCAAAGGAGTTGCTGGATCTAGAGGGTGCAGGAGAGTACAATAGGGCTGGTTAGATGGTAAGAGCATAGTACAATCTGAAAGTAATAGTACAAGTATATATTTGTAAATTATAATACAATTAAAACATTGATACCAGCTAAAACTATAACTACATCTACATGGCACAATGTTAGTTATACAGCAGTGGTTATAGCAACATACATTAAAACATACACTTTACAGAATTTATAATTATAAATTTGCTTGTAATTGATTAGAGCTACCAAAATAATAAAATAAATAATCAAATGCTATAATACCCATAATTTATCGTTACTGTATTTTTATGGATATAAAATAAAAACAAATACTTAGTTTTAAATTATAATGTAACTAAAACATTGAATATTGGTTCAACAAAAAATAATGACTGGCTACATAACACAATATTTAGGATAAACAGTGATGGTGATTAGTGATTACTAATTAGTTAGACACATTAGAACATGAACCAGGTCCCTGTTAAACAACACCAAAATAATATAATTACATAATACATTTAACATTTACTTCATAGAATTTATTAGATTGAAAGTTCAAAGTACATACCTATCTTTGAATTGTTTATGTCTGATTCTTTCTCTATAGTATTATCTAATGTATTATCTAAAAGAAAAATTGTATTTTATTGACTGTATCAGTAAAACTGTTTTCTTTAATATATTACTTAAATCATTGACTTTTGGTAAATGATCACACATCAACAACGAGTCATCCGGGCAGTCTGTATTTTTAACACTAGACATTGGATCATCTGGATCATTTGTAGGAACATTAATATGAGAAAATGTATTATCTAAAATACAATTTGTAATTAAATGCATTTAGTATTTTCATAAAATTGTCCTTACCTTGTTTTTCTTTGGGTTTGAAAAAATTCAACAATGTATTTTGTTTTTTTGAAGCCATATCAATTATAAATTATAATATAATTTCAAATATTACAATTTAACTATTTAAGAATTAAGATTCAGACATTCAGTATATTAATCATATAAAACTAAATTATCATGGGAGTACTCAGTTTATTGATCATTTAAGGTATTTTTAATATTAATTGAAATCTAATTATTTTATAAATATTCCGTAGGTACTAATTTATCATGTAAAATTATAAATAAAATAATTATTTTTAGGATTTATTGGGTTAAAATATTTGCCAAAAAAGTCTGAGGTTGGAAATGATGGTTGCAAAGAACTATCTAGWTGAACCTAAAAGAGGTGATGTTGAAGATGTAAAAAGAATATTTAACCTCAAGTATTTCGTAATTTTTATAAAATGACTTTGTATCATCATATAATTTGAAAAAATATTTCTACGTATTTAACTATAAAATAAATTTACCTAAACATTATTTAGAAATTAAAGTATACTATGCACGATTCGCCCCCCTGACAAAATTCCTGGCGGCGCCTATGTTTGTAATTATTTAAGTTATTATGATAATGAGAACAATTTTTTATTTTTAATGAGTGATTTAATGTAAAAATGAGTTTGTTCGGGGTGTGGGGCAACGCCCCCACGGCTCTGTTTGTCATCAAATATTTGAGTCTCCCTCAATCATAAAGTATAAACAGTTTTAATTAAATTATTGTTTTATATTATTATTATTCAATTTTTTAATGTTTATGAATGGCAAGGCGATAATAAACCTCGGTGGCGGCCGGCGGGGCTATAACAAACCAGTACCTTTTATTTTTTCTTCGATCTCGGTGTAGTAAAATGACTTAGAACTTTAATTTACGATTGTATGTTGGTTTTCAATAAATCTTATATTTTCGGTATTTCGTTTTATAAATTTTAAGATTTGACACACAGGACTATAAGTCTTTATTATACATATCTAATCGATTTGAGTAGGCTGAGTTTTTAGGTTTACTTTAAGCACATTTAATATATAATATATTGGTATCAATATTATTACTATAAATTGTTGTCATTGTCATTACTCATTGTCTGTGTCTTTATAACCGCATTCATCCAACATATTCTTTAAATCTTTGCATTTTTTAACTAAATCCTAAATTAATTATAAATATATTTATGTTGTCTTGAATAGTGATAAAAAAATTTTTTAAAAGATTACGTACAAAACTTTCTTCCTTTTTTGATTATATATTTTTCCATAAAAATATTTTCYAGTAATTATCGAAAGGCTTTTTATAATTTGGATCAAATTTTTCATTTTATTTTGAACAGGGTTATAAATCCCCGATGCCAAGGTTTTTGAACATAACTTAAAAAAGTACAGAACATTAAAATATATATTATTAAATGTAGGTATTCATTTTACTTTTGTAGCGTAAATTGCTAATCTATAGCATTTGATTAACTTCATTTGAAAGAATTTTCTTGTGGTATTTTTTTTTTTTGCAGATCTTCATTTTTTGATTATTTTTAATTTCAGAGATCTGATAGTTATTTAAATAAAAYTTCAGCGGAAAACAATTTCCTACTGCACACTCCTACGAATTAAAAAAAAAATATTTTTCTTTAATTTTAATTTTTACCTTAAACATTTATAAAAAGGCTATTAGTTATTACTGTTATTACAAAAATACAAATAAACGATGGTACAGCACTATAGTGGCGTGATTAGGAATTTGTTTTTTTTTTTGGAGCGGGGATTATATATTTTTAGCAAAATCTGTAAGCTTCATATAATAACTTATCTTAACAAACATAAAATGTTAGCAGTAAATTAAAAGTTCCCCCTCCTTAATTATACCCCTGCAACACTAGTGAACTATAGGTATACTACTATTCTTTTATATGCCTCCATATGAGCTCTTACTGCTCTTAAGTTTGATGTATTGCCACATGTCTGGACAATTTGAGGGTATTAGCATACATGCATAATGCAACTAGCATTGGGCAGTCAATTTGTCAATTTTAGTGAACGATTCCCAGTATTTCCACAATTTACTAGGTGGCGACATAGTTCTAACTCTCAAGACTTAGATTCATGGCTAATTGGCTAAATAATAAATAGTAAATATACTTAAGTATATTTAGCCATGAGTACTGAGTAGACACCATTAGTCATTACACTTGGTCCGAGTGGTCCGTGGATGTGAGTTTCAGAGTTTGTGACCAATGACTTGTGTCCTTGTGAATTGTGAATTGTGAATTGTAATTATTTCAATCGGCTTCGATGATAAGGAGCTATCTAGTAAGTTGTATAATATTATTATTAWAATATTACGCATTTATTTTCTGATTATTATTTACTCCAAGACCATTATGTGCCAATGAACATTTGTTCCAAATGTTTTGTATAATAAATCTTGTGGAACAATTAAATTATGGAACAAACTTTCATCAGAACAATTAATGTAAATGTGAAAAGATATAATTGGATGAAATTTATATGGAAAAAATGTTCATTGGAACAAATGTCTTTCGACAAACAGGTATTGGAACAAATGTAAATAGGAACAAAAGTAAAATTTGGAAATTAATATCATTGGAATAAGACATAAGTAAAGTTGACTAGGAACAAAAAATTGTGGAACAAAAGGTAGTGACCCATATTATTATATAATATTGTTTCAATTATAATTTATAAAAAAAAAGTACCGAAATGGATTGTAAAAAATTTCGTAACCTCGATATACGGTAAACAGTAAACTCTAAACGATATTTTGAATTTTGAAAACCTAAAATATTTAAATATCGGTGTGTCGATATTATCGGAAGGGAAATATCGATGCATAAAATATCKATTTTTTTCAAAAAACTATCGATATWTTTTTKCCATCTCTATTCTATTCCCTAATATGGTAATATTATCAAAAATTGCGTCAGTGCGTCAGCGGTCAGCGTCACTAGTGAAGTAGTGACTAGTGACTGTAAAAAAAATAGTCAGTTGTACTCAGTAGCATAGATTAAAGTAGTATATTTAATCTGTCAGTAGGCACTACTCACTATAAAAAAAATAGTCAGTAGGAAGTGTATAGGTCATTAGGTCTGCAGCATTGCTTATTGTTACGTTCCAACATAAAATTTGTTACAGTACTTGGTTAATTAAGTGAGTACTTAGTTATTAACTAATTAGTAATTAGTAATAATAAATAAAACTGTTCATTTTTTTTTATCAAATTCATCAGAATATTATAAAAATTATAAGTTTTTGTTCTTAGAATGTCAAATATAAAAACAAAACCTTTTACAACCAAGTTAAGAAGTAATGAATCGTTAAAGTGTCACTCTCAAAATCGAACAAATTCTGATTCTGGCTTGGAAGTAGATTCTGTAGCATCAGGATCTTTACAGATTTCAAAAGTACTTATTCTTATTACCTAATTTAATGTTTTATTGATTTTAAAATAATTATCTTATTTTTCACGATTAATTGAATAGCCATCAATTACTTCTGAACCAAGTCGACATAAATATGGAGGTAGAGGAATGGCCATTCAACAATTAGCTGAATCTCTGTCTTCAAAAGACAGAATGAAAAATTCAAATTTGGTTTGTATAATAATTATAACCTAATATGCACATTATGTTATGTATTATTTAATTATTTTATAACATTGGTGATCAGTGCTCAAATTGGGAAAAATTAAGTAATAGAGCTCAATCCAATGATTCAAAAACTGCCTTTTAATTACAATATTATTAAACACAAACTTGTGGGGAATCTATTAATTTAAAATTGCTAAATTTTAAGTACCTTGTACATATTAACTGAGGTACAGCATTTTAGCTTTATTATATTCCAATTTTAATAATATATGTAATTATGTAACACATGAGTGAATGTGGACTTATATTTACTAGATTTTTCCCAATTACATTTCATACATAAATCACGTTAAAAGACGTTTTGTAAAATTATGATTCCCATTTTGATAACAATACCCACATGTTCTAATAGGGAATAAAGAAAAATAATAATTTTCAGTGATAGTGTCATAATTTGTGTTTAAGAGGCCAACACTAGTTCACAGATATTTGGTAATAAAAATGACTAAATAAATAGGTATGATAAAAAAAAGCAGATTTCGTCCAGTTGGCACATCCTTCCTCTAGTATACACACAAAACCATTACTTATAGTTCTACCTATTTATTTCAGTGGCATATCCAGGAGTAGAGTTTTAGAACTGAAATTTTTTTCATTTTATAAAATAAATCTTATTTACCACCATTTCAATACACTGAGTCGATTAATTGTTGGTAATTTTTAAAAGGTATACATTAAATTGTTAATTTACTATTAATTATTATTTATTATAACTAATTATATAAACACTGTTAAGCAAATTATTTAAATTATTTACTCATGTAAAACCTTAACCAAACTAAAATCCTGTGTATGCTACTGATTTATTTAGTCATGGTAATACATTAGTTTATTGTGTATATCTATACATTACTTCACTAGGCAAAGGACAAGCATGTGTCATAATGTAAACAAACTTTAATAAAAATAGTGTAAACATCCGTTAACTTGGGAATATAGCGTCATGGGTCTATGCGGGTCGGGTAGTTTAGTGGTAGAGCAATCTCCCGGCAAGCGAGAGACACGATTTCGATTCTCGGTCCGGTGGCTGGATTTTTGACGTTATTTCCCCGAGAGAAGTTAACAATAGCAAAGTATTAGGTAGTCTAAACCATAGAAAAGATAGTAAGCTAATGTTAAAATATGTAAACTACATTTTAATATAAATTATTTTGGGCATTAGTTTGTGCCTTCCTTTCTGACCAAGTAAGAAAAAATTTTARAGAAGCTATATTCTCCTGAACTCTCCAAATAATAATTTAATAACTGTTGGTGGCTCTCTGGTTCTCTTCCTATATTATTTAGATTTTTGTATACTTTTTGTATTCTCAAACTCATTCATTGATGTTTAATCAGTTTATTCATAAATATAAAGAAGTATCTATATTGAACAGTAACACAGTGTATAATATTATTTTATGTTTGTAGTGCTTTTCAAATTCAAGCATAGAACAGCATTTTAAAAATCTTAAAGCAGAAAATGTAAAAAGTAAGTCTGTAACATGATTGTTAATTACATATTTTTGTACTTGTTACAATATTTCCTAATAATAATATTGATTTTTGTTATGAAGGCAATTGATTCAAAATTTGAAATAAACATAGAATATTAATATAATTTATTAATATAAATAATTTAAGATAGACAGGTACAATGTATAATTTCTTATCAATTTTTTTTTCCAGAACTTAATGAAGAAAATGAAAAGATTTGGGGAAAATTGATACATTCTAATAAGAATACATAACATTTTAAAGGTAAAACTGATAAATTAAATGTTTTAATTGTGTGATAGATAAATATACATACTTACATAAGAACCTTGATAATTTAAAAAATAAATAAATTAAGTGTTGTCTAGATTAGCAATTTTTCTGGATTACTCAACATTTTTCAAGACTACTCTATGCCTAAAAAATTTAAATCAACCAACTTGATTGATTATTTTTGATAAGTATCAAATTACGAAAAAACATAAAAAAAAAATATTTAATCAATTAAATATTAAATGTAATTTATTGTTCAAAAGTGGTCAAGTTTGTTGAATTTAGTTATTTATTTGTTAAAATATCAGTGATTGCTTTTTGAGTGATGCTTAATTTTCATTAAATTTTTTTTTAATTTTAAACTAAAAACATGATGCAGTAARGAGAAAAGGATCAGAGTAGATCCTAAACAATACATTGTTGTTGTTGTTGATACATTAAATGTTACATAGACTAATTCACAGTCCCATGATTATTTTGTTGTTTTAACCTTACATTTCAATAATAATAGATTTTGATTCGTTAAATTCAAATCCATAATTGGTTTATCTCTAGAACTTCTAGTATTATTAGAACCTAAATAACAAAAATTATGTTTTCTGCTGAAATATTGTATTACCTACTTTGCATATAGAGTTGGGTATAATGAAGCATTTTGTAAAGGCTTTTGGTAAAAATAGACATTGTTTTCAAAAGATCTGTAAAATTTCCAATTTTATCTGAAGTAAAGCTAAAAGAAGGCATATTATATGGTCACAAATTGGAATACTGACGAAAGATACTAAATTTCATAATAGTGTGAAAAGTATAAAAAAAATGAACTAGTTTTAAATGTGTAGAATAAAAGTTCTTAAGTAATATAAATGATCCCACTTATGAATCAATTGTTGCTGATTTAATGGAAAATGTATGACTAATACTAATACTTCTTATACTCGCATGTCATATTCACCAGATTGCTCAGGTATTTTCTGTAGTATGTTAAATTACAATCTTTAAACATATTAGACATGAAATAGCGTTGAAATTTTCCATAATTGATTTACTGTTTAACTACTAATATTAATTTGCATTTTAATTTTTTGAAATATTTCAAGTAATTCATATTAAGTTAATTTAAAMAAACTAAAGATATATGATATTTTAAGTTTTAATGAATTAATGAATCATGTCTTTATATTTTGATGTGGTAGATTAATATATTTCCTAATTGAACAATTACCTTTGAAGTTTATAGTAAAGTAGTCATTTTAAATTTAAGATAATATTTAGTTTTTATTAAATTATGGAGATGGGAAATTATAATTGTGAAGTTGTAATTTTCTATTTGTTAATATATAGCTTCTATCCATAATATGTTGAGTATAAAAATGGGTATTAGTGTATCTGAATTATTAATAAACTTAAAAACTACTGGATTGTTTTCAATAAAAGTTAAAATAATATATTCCTTGATGCTTAGAGCCTAAGAAGCTAATTTTTAACCCCCTCAGGATAACTCACACTTGAATTTTTTTGCAGTTCAAGAAAAAAAATTATAATTTTTGTTTATTTATAGAGTTGTATTTATTGGTTGTAAACATTAATAATAATTTTGGAAAAATTTTTTATTTCTTTGGTATGACTTAAAAACAGATAAACGTAGACACATGCAATTTTCATCAAAATCTTTTGGCTTCCMCTTGGTAAAAATTTTTTTGAAAATTAATTGTTAAGTTTCTCCCATTTTTTTTTATAGCAATTCAAAAATATTTAAGATAGATAGGCATTAGGCACGTTTATTTTTTATATGCATTTAAAGTTCAAATTTTGACAAAATTCATCAACAATTATTTTTAGTTGGAAATTCATAATAACTTTTCTTTTCATAGTTAACCTTAGAAATTTTAATAGAAGATTCCTCATAAGTTTTTCTATCTTTAACAAAAAAAAAAGTTCAGCGTAAAGTTAAGCTATTTATAGCAAATATTGTCAATTTTTGTTAATAATTTGTAGGTAGTATAAACACTATTATACTTTAAAGAGGTCCATAAAATGTAGAATTATGAATTTAGTGATCCACAAGGTTAGGAACCGCTACTATCAGCTACATTTTATTTAATTAGTTTATTAGTGATTACATTTAATAATTATACTATAATTAAACTAATTTTCTATCATTTTTCAGGCATTTGATATGCATTTGAAGATAATACTTGACGATTTGCAGTGACTTTAAAGGACAATAAAAACTATACAACATACATATACTTTATTACTTTATAAGATATATATAAGATATTTTCATAATTTCAATATGGGTACTGACTAAATAGGTGATTTTTGTTTAGGTAATCAAAATATTTGTAAAATATTATTTTTATAAAATTATACTTACTACTTACTATCATTTTTTTATTTTTGTGTGTAACAAATTAAATATTACAATTAATTTAGTTCTATTCGATAACATCAAATTGATTTATACTATTTTTCTTATTTTATTTCATTGTTCATTTTAAATTATTGTTATATTTTGATTGGATTTGTAAATATGACAATTACCTACATAAACAGTTACTCAATTACCAAATAAATGTTCATATCTTTAGTCAAAAATTATTATTATAATTTTTTTTTTTTTATTGATCGTCAAAGGCCATTAGTTTATTATTATTATTGTTCACCTAATTTATGTATTATACATATTTTTTTGTAAATTTCTATTTGGTGTAAATAAAATTAAATAATTATAACTGACACTCTTAATATTATTTTCATTAAGTTTTAATGTAGGTATAACTAATATTATATATCTAGTACTGTGTCGTAATAAGATGAGGACAGCAAGGTTAGTGTCCACTCTTTTAAAATCAAGGGGTCACTTAAAATATAAAATTATTAGTGATCCAAAACATAAATTATCTATATAATCAGTAATTGCATTTATTATTTTTATTTTTGAGATGTCCAGAAGGGACGAGGTAATTTCCTAYGAGACATAGGACCAACCTACGAATAGGCCTCACCTGCATTACTCACAGATACTTCATGGCCAAGTAAGACCCATCTTCATGTACGATTTGCAGAACACTTATTACGGTCAAGCATATATTGACAGAATGTTGACAGTTCAATGGAAGRCGCATCGAACAGGAGCTACCAGAGACACTATACGAGATGCTATACTTAACAGTTTTGTCAACATAACAGAACTGTGTCAACCTATATAAATTATTAGAACTTAAGACAACTATGTACAAATATAACAATATGACTATATGTAGTAACTATTARGTAGCAATTAAGTTATTTAATGTAAATTCCTAAAAAAATGTAACACATGCTAATAACCTTCTTGTTGGTATCTTAAACAATTAACAAAAAAAAATATGTATTTTTATAGAAAATGAAAACACAATGAAAGTTACAATACTATAACCAAAAACTATTTAAAAAAATATATATAGATATTTTAAGTTTAAATTTGTATGAAATTAGAAATTTAAACGATAGCGACTGGTTATCTAATGCATTCTATGAGTGAATTGTATTTTCGTAGCGGTACCTACTACAAACTAAACAACTAAAGTCATAGATATTAGCGGTATGGATCTTAACGGTTACCTATTTCAAACTCATCAAATAAAACGTTCCTAGGAATGTATAACGGATATAATATAAGTACCCGAGTTTAATGTTCAATTATTATTGTACTAAAACAACACGGTTATTACTTTGCTAGAAACTAAGTAGTACATACTCACAGTTTATATATTAATTGATGTGTGCTTGTTGTTACCAAAATTATACATCTGTAATATTATTTAATGACAACAATTGACGTTTAACGAATTAAAATGAGTAAATGTGTCGTAATAATACGCATTTATTAATAGGTTTATAAAATATTTATATAATAATAATAACGATAGCTGGTAGTAACAAATTGAATATAAAATATTCATAATCCAATTTCCAAGCACCCGATGAAAAGATATGATATTATTTCATGAGTTTATGACTAATGAGGRAAACTTAATAATATTATCTATATCTTAATATGATTACGACTATTTAGTTGTGTGCCGTTTCAAAATCGCACTCTTCTTTTTCCTTAATGTTAATCAAGCCCCGAAGAAGTGCACGGATCAATGGGAACGAAAAGCATCCGCATGTGGACCTGTAATCGTCCGAGTGCATGTAATACAGTTGAACGCCTCCAATATGAGTAGTCCGCAAAAAATCACCCTATAATATTATAATAAACAATAAACAACATAAAAAGTCGATTGATAAAATGTACAAAGCGTGGACATTAGTTTTTTTTATAAACAAATACTTACATTTTGTCTACTTAAAAAATCCCAAACTATTCCAAAGGATTATTGGTCTTAGTATAATATCGGTGTTTTAAAATACTAAAATAATTAAGAAAAATGCGTATTCCTATTATAGTTCTAAAAATTAATAAAAGTACCTACTGGCCATTCGGTCATTATCTACACATAGTCTCTATAAGTAGGTACCTACTTATACAAATACAATAGAATAAAATGTACTTATAAAGCCTATAATGACTACCTCTGATATTAAAAATAAAAATTTTAAAAAGTGGAGAACTAGATTTTGCTCTATATTGGTCTATTTTTTTGTGGCTCATCCGAGTTGGGTCCCGAGTACTATATATGTATTTTAGATTCTGAACGAAGTGATGAATGTATTGATTTTACAATGATGTTTTTTTTTTTTTTTTTGTGTCTGTGTACAGCATTACTAGTCGAAATAATGCTTCAATTTCTAACTTTGGGGGTGGTTTCCGATGTAAAAGTGAATATCCTTGGTGCATTATAGAGGTCAAAAGTAAACATTTTCAAAAAAATTGAGAAAAACAACGAAAAAATGACAGAAAAACGGGAATTTTTACGCAAAACCAAATCGATTTTTTTATATGGTTGTAATTCAAAAACTAATCACTGTAAATACTTGAAATTTTATGTTAGTTATATCTATATACAGTTTAATTTTCACAAATTTTTGAGTTATTTATAGACCACTGAAATTATCAATTTTTTTGAGAGTGCCGGTAAAAAAATGTTGGAAGACCAAAAAAACTTGAAAATTTAATACAAGGTTCCTTATGAGTTGTTCTTATTGTAACTAAAAAAAATTWAAAATCGTAAGTCACAATTTTTTTTTATAAGCGTTTATAGTTCAAATTATTACGAAATCTGTCGAAAAGCGAAAATTTGCAAGTATAACTAAAGATTAAAAATACAACATTAAGTTTTCTATTAGTTTTCCTTCAAGATATAGAGAAAACTCGAAACATCATTATAGGAAAAATTTTAAGTGCGTTTGAATTTTAAATTTTTACGAAATAGCGTAACGATAACGATTTTAAATATTTGTAATTATTCAAAAAGTATAAGTCGTAGATACTTGAAAATTTTAAAAGTTATTAAGATTGGAATTTTTTTTATATGATTTAATTTTCAAAATATTTTGACTTTTTTTTAGATATTTATATACAACTGAAA